TTCCGTAAATTTATTAACTATTTTTAATGTTTTTAAAAAAACTGATAATATTTAACTTAGTCATGATCATAAAGGGTTTCATAAACTAATAACAAAAACTTGTTTTTTTTTCTTAAAATTATTTATTTAAAATTTATATAATATATATTTGTTTATTTTACAAAATCGTCTTTGGTATAAGCTGTATTTAAAAAAAAAATAATTATACACATTATTTTTTTTTATCAAATTTATAACTATAAAAATTATTCAAAATTCATAAATTGTAAAGAAAAACCAAAATAAGAAAAATCAAAAATTTTAAATATTCTTTCTACTACAAAATTTAGTTAGGTAATAATGAAGAACAGTGAATATTCTAATTTTATATAACTATTAAATAATACTTAAAATCATACATGATAAATTATAATTAAAATAAAAAACTCATATTCTAAATAATATTATATTTAATACATATATAACTATAATTATCATTCTTATTTATTATAAATTGCACCATTTTCGGCCATATATTTAATGCTTATTTTTTTTTTAACTTTTTATTATTTTATTGTTTTTTATTTTGGTATACTAAATTTTTTAATTATAAACTAAATAAATATAATACAAAAGTAATTTTTTAAATTTTATATATATAAAAAAAAATTACAATTAATTATACAATAAAGACTAGAAAATCTCGTCCAATCCAGTAAAAAAATCAAATAAAACCAAAAAAAAAAAAGAAAAGCAAAAATTTGTTCAACTGAAATAATTATTTTACTTTGATTTTTTATATAAACTTATATACAGTTTTAACTTATATTAAATTAAAAAATAAAAATCTTTAATTATTCAATTTATAAAGTACATGTTTATTATACGGCTAAATTACTGCAAAAATTCAATAGCTTTTCTGCTGTCTTCTGTTTTGTCAGACAAAACTCATATTTTTCTAAAATTATTAGGTTTTTCAACCCATTATGTTTTTTATTTGATATATTCTAATCTATGATTTATAATTAATTCTTTTGCAATTCGAATTTAAAAAGGAAAATGATAACACTTTAAAACGTTAATATGAAAAATAAGAAATTTTGAGTCGTCAAAATTATGCAGTAATTAAGTAATATCCTGCTGTTAAAATGCATCAAAAATTTGAACAGATTTTGGAAAATATTTTATAATGTATAACAGTTAACAAAAATTTTTACTTTAAAGTTAATTTGAAGAGATTACTTTCGAATTTTACAAAAAATAACAAATTCGTAATCAAACAATACTAAAAATTAATGTAATTATTTTGAACAATAAATATTTTTTGATGCACTTGAAACAGCACTTGTTATAATTATGTACTTTTATTTGAATAAAATAATTTTTTTTATCATACATTTAATTTACTTAAATATATGTACAAGCATACCTCGAACAGTACATTACAGTGCTTTTTAATTATACGAAGAAAAAAACCATATTTTAAATTCGAATTTGTTTTTTACAATTTTTTTATTTGATAACAGTTATTAGTTATAATACTATTATGAAATATAATAATACGCTTCCTAGTAAAAAAAAATGTATTTCAAGGGATGTCTGCACATACTCGTATATTTCTAATTTAAAAATTTCCTATATAATTACAATTTAATTTTTTTTTTTTGAAATTTCATTGCACCAATTCAGCTTTAAAACAGATTTTAATTAAATATTAAATTTACAATTGTAAAACCTAAAACACTTAATTTAAGAAAAAATTAAAAAAAAAAAACAAAATGTAAATTGATATTTAATAAATGAAAAATATAAAAAAATAATCTTAAATAATAATAAAAAAAAAATACAAATTAAGTGCGAATTATACTAGTATTAAAATTTAAAAGCAAAATTCTTAATTATAAAATATTATAAAAATTTAATATAATAATTAATTAATGCTGTGAATACTTATAGAGTTTTTCCATTTTATTTTAAAACCATGAATACTGAATAAATATAACAATTTATTTTCAACTGTTATACTTTATTAAATTTAAAATTATTATTGCACTTTAAATATATTATAATATATATAATGTTTTTATATAAATTTTAATGTAATTACTATACTTAATTAAAAGAAAAAAAAAGAATATGCGTACAATAATTTCTTTTACAATAAAATCAATTCTATTTGTGCTTTATTAGTTTAATCGTTTTTTTTCGAAATAATTTGAATTATTATTATTATTGTAAATTACACAAATCTATTTAGTAATACTGAATGAATTTAATAAAAATATTACAAAAAAAATTGATTGAAAATAATTTTATATTAAACTGATTGATTGATGATTCTATCGCATTTATTTTTCTATTGCTATATTTGCAAAATATAGCAATAGTAATTAAATTTCATCACAAACTTTAAAAAAAAAAATCATAAAATATATTATAAAATAATTTTATATACATACTTAATTATTTTGAATTAATTTATAATATTATACAAAAATTAAATTCATTTAAATTTAATTAATATTAATTGAAATTCATAATCATATTTTATATTATGTGGGAAAATGAAAAATTTTGCACGGTGAACATATAATTTTAATAGAATCAATTTAAGTAGAATTCTTAATAATTGAAATTGTAAATTGAATATTTGATTCTACATATTATTATATGTATGACATTTTTATAAATATGTTATACATAGAAAAGTTTTTTATGCAGTTGTACTGTTACAAAATTAATTATTAATATCATTAATAATGATTGGAGAACAAAAATGTTACATGAGAAAAAAAGTATTATTTTTGTAAAAAGAAAATACATAAAAATATAAAAAATTAAGATTTTACGTCCTTTCGAATTGAAAATTTATAAGATTAATTACAATAATATAATATTGTACGAATTATATTAATATTTTCATATAATATAACAATATCAAATACCTTATATATAAATACTATACAGGACTTTAAAATGCAGTGGTTACATTTGATCAGAGATATAAAATTTTGTTAATTTTTAATAAATAATAATTATTTATTATAATATTAATATTTACATAATATATTATTTTATATAAAATTAATTAAATTGATTGTTCATCAATATTTATTATAGAATTTAAAATTTTACTGATATTGTATTATGTATAAATATTAATATGAATTTATTTATTAAATAAATTTTTTTATATACAATAGCTATTATTTTAATTTTAAATTTTATTTGTTTTAATTTACCGTGTAAAAAATTTATTGTTAAAAATTTATTTCGTCAAAATTAACATTTCGGGTTTAATTTCGTTTATTATAATATTTAACTCATTTCTCGTAATATAACAATATCGACACAATTTTAAAATTATGTCTGTAACACACTGAGAGACAAAATAAATTTTTTGAAAAGTTGATTAAATTTTGAAAATTTTATTACTCGTAGTTTAGTTAAATTTTTGAAAATATTATTTTTGCTTTATTATTTTTTTCTTAATTTGAATTAATTATTGCAAATTTGATATTATGTATGTATATGATTTATTACTTCTTTATTTATTTTATGTGAAATAGTTAAATTTTATTATGATATGAAATAGTTAAACAGAAATTGGAAGGAAAAATGTGTTAAATTAAAATAACAGAGATTAAAGAAAAATGTAGAAAAAAGTATAAAATGAAATAGAAAATATGAAAACAAAAAATAAATTATGTATGAATAATAATGAAATATAGATAGTGATGAATAGTTTTATTTCGTGTTAAAATAATTAAAAATGACAGAATTTTAAATCTATTAAATATAAATGAGGAATAAAAGGGAAGTATTAGTAAAATAATTTTTTAAATTCAATTTTTTTAATGTAAATTAATAAAAACATAATTTTTAAATTCCAGGAATTTACGGAAGATTTCTTGAGAAGAAAATAGAAACTAAAAAAAAGAAAGTAGAAAAACGAACAGAGATTTATGTGAATTAAAAAAGAAATTTAATGAACAAATAAAAAAATGTTAATAAACTGTGAATAAGTATGAAGATTTGATTTTTCGATTTTGAAATAAATGTAAATGGAAACGAAACTAGAACTGCAACTATTTAATGTAAAATGAAATACGATAAATGAAAAATGAAAAAAATAAAATTGAAATGAAAATTTAATACAAAATGTAGTTTTAATTTAAAAGCTAGGGAATGTAAAATGGTGCTTTAATTGAATGTAATATAAACAATTTATAATTTGAATTTAAAATAGAGTTTTGAAATAAATGAATGAATAAATGAAGAACTGAGAAACTTCAAAATATTATATAAAGTATAGGAAATCAAATTTTTGTTTTGTTGAATAGCAAAAAATAAAATCAATAATCAAATAATATGAAAAGTGAAATTAATAATGAAAAGAAGTTGTGAAGTGTTTACCCATGAAAATTAACTAAAAAAATAAAAATAAGTTTTAATAATTTAATAAAGTGACTAAAAAATGAGAAATATGAGGAGTGAAAATGAAAAAATGGAAAATAAAATGATGAGGGATGAAATAATGAAATAAAATAAAATAAAAATTAAAAACAAGAAAGATAAGAATAATTATGGTTAAAAGAAATAAATAAAAAATGAAAGTTAAAATGTGATGCGATAAGAGAAATTTAAAGAAAAATTTTACAAATAGAATATTAAATTCAATAATTAAGATAAGAATCGCAAAGAATACTAATAAAGAAGAAATAAGAAATGAAAATATGATTAGAAACAACGAAATGTAATGATAAATTATGCAAAATGAAAAACGAAATGTGTAAGTATATAAACACTAACGAAATGTCACAAAAAATAGAATGTGAAATATTAATAGATAAAGCAAAAGAAGATAGAATAGAATAAAAACAATAAAATGGAAAGTAAGAATAATAGTGAAAAAAAATATAAATATGATTAAAGAGAAAATACATGAAAAATATGAATTAAAATCAAAAGGGCGAAAATTAATGATTATGATTTATTAAATTGTAATCATGATCATTACTTTTAAAAAAGAATTATGATGAAAATACTAAAGTGCATAATTAATGAACGTATGAAATGGCAAAAAGTATAAACTTTTCAAAAAATCTTATATGTACATAACATGTAAGTATTACAATATCATTACAATATTTTAATTAAATTATATTGCAAATGACTTAATATCAACCCTACTTCTATTTTTATTTATTTTTTAAAAAGCCATTGCATAACTACGAGTCAATTCAAAAGGACTTGTCTTTGTTGAATGTGTAAATTGATTTTTTGGTGAATAATCAACTGGATTCTCTTGATTATGAAAATAATTAATTTGATGTTGATCAGTTGTTGATGAAGATGTTGTAGCAGCTATAATAATATGTTCTAAATTTGTTGACGTAATAAGTGATGATGATGATATTGGTGCACGAATAACACTAATACGACTATTATAACGGCTATAATCATCATTACTTAAATGTAAACTTTGTGATGCAGCAACTGTTGGTGTTGTTAAAGTTACATAAGATTTATGATTATCTTCTAAAGACATTGCTGCTGTTCCTGCTAATGCTGCTGCTGTTGATGGTGATGATGAACATGTTGATGATGATGATGAAACTGATGAAATATAATTATTTGTATCATTTCGATAATCATATGTTGATGTATGATGACAATCTGGCCATGTATTATTTGTTAAAATATGTTTTTCCATTGAAAATTGTTTTTCTGGGTAATTATGATGATGTGTTAAAATATTATTTTCATTATTTTCATTATTCATTGGAATCAAATTTGATGATAAGTGCTGTTGTTGAACATATTGATGTTGCGGTTGATGTTGTTGTTGATGTTGATTTTGTTGAATTTTATATTGTAATTGCTCTTGTATACGTTTATTTTGTAATTCTTTTTGTAATATTTTTGTTGCTAATGTTGATTTTGTTGTATTATTTTTACTAGATTTTTGATGTTCAGTTTTTGATTGTTTCTCTTGTTTCAAATGATTTCTCATACACGATGATTCTTCATGTTTATAAAGATATGATTTCAAAGCGAATGATTTACCACATCGTCGACATGAATGTGGTTTTGTATTCGAATGTGTTTGTATATGTGCACGAAGATTTGACTTATCGGCGAATGCTTTAGAACAAATACCGCAATGAAATGGTTTCTCACCTAAAAATATAAGAATTGAATTTTACAAGATAATCACATGATATTCAAAAAAAAAATATAAAAAAAGTATTTACCGGTATGTGTTCTTATATGACCTTGCAGCAACCATGGCCGAGAAAAACATTTGCCACAATGTTCACATTTACAACCTTGATTATGTGTTCGAACATGCATAGAAAATGCTGGCATTGAAACATAAACTTTTTCACAAAATGGACATTTTCTAGCTTTTTTATCTGAGATTGATCTGAAAGTAAAAGGAAAACATTATATTATTAGCTGCGTATAAAAATTCAGAAATAATGTAATTATTAAATTTAATTCTTTAATTCTTAAATATATGATATTCTTACAACTAAATGGATATTGCCCATGTAAATTACCTATGCGTTTGCCTATGTCTTGCTAAATTTGATGATGTTGAATATTTTTTACCACATTCTGGACAAATATGTTCGTCTTCACTACTACTAGTCAGTATTGAATTAGATTCAGATGTATTTAATAAATTGCCTTGTTCAAATTCTTTATTAATACTATTATTATTACTATTACACGCAGCATTATTGTTTTCAAAATGATTAATATTATTATTATTATTTAAATTAATACCATCATTTATAATCATTTGTTGATTATTACTAGTAGTAGTTCTAATGTTATTACAATTATTATCATTGCTGTTGCAATTGCTATTATTATTGTTATTATTACTACAATTTGTATGAAAATATTTTTTATTAATATTATATTTATTATTGTTATTGTCTTTTTTAGGTATATCATCATTACTATTTGTACTGCTACATGATATTGAATCATCATATCGTATTAAATCAGAAAGTGTTGATCTTCTAGATGCTTTTCGATCAAATATTTTATGACTGTAATGTGAAGAAGTTTCATCATCTGACAATGATGACGATGATGATAATGATGATGATGAAGATTGTAATAATGGAGGTGTTGAAAATGTATTTATATTCTGATTATCTATTGATTGTGATAGTAATAATGAAGTTGATGAAGATGATGATGATAAAGATAATGTATTTGTTATATTATCTTTATTTTCAGATAATGGAAATGAATAGAAATTTGTTATTCTTGCATCATTGTTATTATTATTATTATTATTATTATTATTATTGTTAATATTATTATAATTTGTATTCATATTGTCTTTGTCATTATTATTTATTTTAATATTATGTTCATTATTAATATTACTTATATTTAAATTACCATTAATATTTTGATTACAATTTTTATTATATATATTAAAATTATTATAGTTAATTATATTATTCTTATGAAATTGATTATTTGTATGATTATTTAAATAATTTGTATCAATCATTGGTGTTTGATTGCTTTCTTGCCGCAAATCATCATAATTATTTTTTTTATATTTAAATTCTTTAAAATTTTTATTAATTTCTATTGAATTTATTGGATATTTTTGTTGATATGTTGTTAATGTATTCATTGAATTGATTTCATCTTTAGATTTATCTTTGTTTATATAACCAGCTGCCAATGTTACTTCAGCTAATTGTGTTAAATTATATAATTCTTCTGGTATCATTTGATTGGAATTATGATGATCATATTGTTCATGTTGTTGATTTTGATGGTGTTGAGATTGTTTAATATCAGTCATATTTAACTAGAAATAAAAAAAACAGTTTGAATTATGTTATATATATTCAGTTCAAATATAATTTTAGGGTAATTAATTAAATTAAACTAAAAGCAGACTTAAATGATTTAATTTATTCCGAAACTAAATAGATGAATTATTTGAACTTAAAATAAGATATTTTTGTTTTGATTTGAAATACTTTTAAGTGGAATATAGCGTAGTTATCGATAAATTCTCTGATTTATATTTAAACAAAATGTGAATCAATACTAAATCACATATTTTATTTTTTTTTGACAAACCCTGTCAACCACTGTCATCTTAATTTAATAAATAATGAATCTATTCAAACAAATAATAGGTTCCAGTCGACAAATTATATTTATAAAACCAATTAGAAAATTTTTTCTAAATACATACTTTTAGTCTAACTAGTGTGACATTTCATAAATAATTCGTATACGTTATTCTAATATATGAAATCACAAAATTAGAACTGTTTTTGATTTTTTGAAATTTTAATGATTGATCTACTCTATTATCCTATAAAATTTAAATTTAAATAAATTACAAAAAAAAAAAAAAAAGCAAAAAGAAAACCTCATTGAAGAAAACAAATATTTTTACCACCTCGCTATAGTTTTTATAGCTAGTTTAGCCTTTAATTTTTTTAGTGTCTCACCTATTTGTTAAATATAGTTTTGCAAAAATTGTTTTTTTTTTTTTTTTTTCTTACGTACATTAATAAATACATATACATTTATTATAATATACTACTCCCTATGAATATATAGTGATATGGAATTATAAAAATAAATTCCAAAATATACTTTGACATACATTAAAAAAAAAATTAAAAATTTAGTACAAGCGGAAGTTAAGAAACTTCTAATCATTAAATAGAAAATATCACAAATTGAAAAACAAGAAAAAACAAAAATTAAAACAAAGAGCTTTTTAAGTTGAAAATACGCGCAAAAAATGAATTATAAATAATCACTTAATCGCTAATTCTATCCAACTTAAATAATATTTAAATATTAACATAATTATTTATTTATGTGTTTATATAGAAAATATACAATGTTAATATAATGAAATTGTTAAATTTAAATGAGGAATATTATATAAAATTTCCATTAAATTTGTATACATTAAAGAGAAATTCAATTGGCAATAATATTAAATTTTAAGATTAATTTGAATTTCGTACATTATAACATTAAAATGAATAAATTAATGGCATTTTCTTTAAAAAAAAAATCAAAAATACAATTGTTATCAACAAATTAATTATTATTTGCTGTTAATTTTTATTTAAATTCTAATAATAGTATTAATTAATTTAAAAATAAATTTAAAAAATCCCTGTAAATTCAATTAACTTAAAAATAAATTCACAATTTTATTTTGAATTGATTTAAATTATATATATATATATATATATATATATATATATAAGTAAGGTACCAAATCATTTAATGAAAAAATGGTGCAATACCACAATTGCTACAATATAATATTAAAGGTAATTTATTTGCTTTTTTTAAATTCTAATACGCCTTGACCAAAAATTAGTTCATATTTTGTTTTCATTTACTAATTCGAGTAACATGCATAAATATATAAAAAGCGCCACACTTAATGTTTACCTAAAATACAAAAAATATGTGTTAAGTGAAAATTAAATAATATATGTATATTTTTTATAAATATTTTATCATTTAAATAAATATAACAAAAGATTTTCTATTATAAAATGGCATGTGCGAACAATAAAACGAAAAACTACATAATAATATAAAAAATGACATTAAAATACTTTAAAAAAATAAAATTAAATGTTTTGTTTAACAACAAAATAATATAAAAAATATTTTTTTTATATCCGAACACAGTAATACCTCAGTCAAAATGTTTCACTAAAAATTAAATATTTTTTTTTTTATTTTATGATAATTAAAGATAACTTTCATGAAAAATAGCTGATTAAAATATTTTTAAATTACCACAACACATTACAATAATGACGTCCTCAAAATGTTGAAAAATTAACTACTAAATTAAGTTACGTTGTTAATAAACATTTAACCCATGATTTATAATTACTCAGCTATATATTTAAATCGTTGCTTATAGCACGATATAATGAAGAGTCGGGAGCGCGATTGCAATTGAAATATTTTCAGAGGAACTTTGTAACTTTGTGAATCTCGCTCCTTGACATGGTTGCAGAGCTGCAGTTTACCAAGAACCTAGGTATAGGACTACTGTAGGCGACATTCGAAGATCCTCCGCGCGAAGTAAAAAGAAACTCTTTTGCTTGATTTAAGCTACGATACAGACGCCTTATTGTTAAACAATCTTTTTTTATCTAAGTATTACTGTTCATATATATCAAAATATAAAAAATAAATATTTATTACAGTAATATAGAATTAATAAATTAAAAATTAACAAGAAATAAAGAAATGATCCAAAAACAAAAAAAAAACAAAAATTTTATTTTTAAGAACAAAAAAATCATTGAAAATATTGGAAAAAATAAAAATTTACTTTAGAACAAAAGTAAAAAAAAACTTTTTATTTTTTGTTTTTGTTTCCAAAATCAGAACATCTGTAAAATTTATTAAACATTTTTATAAATACAAAACAACATAGAACAATATAAGTGGTGGGAAAACAATAAATAAAAAGAAGACGACGAAAAAAAACCACCTAAACTTCCTCATCATCATAATTTCATTTTTCACAAAAAAAAAACCCACACACAAAATTTTCATTTACCAGGAAGAGAAATAATAACAATGTATAATTTGTATATGTATTTATCCAAATTCATATATTTATATGTAGATATTCCACACATCTACATTTAAATATGGGTAATTTTACGTGGAATTTTTTTTCGTTTTTTTTTTTTAATTTAATTTGTGTATAATTTTTTGTGAGAAAAATTGCGTTTTTGTTTTTTGGGAAATTTTCATCTAAATTATTAATTCAGAAATAAAATTAATTATAATTTATTTTTATTTTATAATTTAATTTATGTATTAATTTCTGTTAAAACCAACCTTTACTTTAGAATTTTAAAGCGTTTGTATATGAGAAAAGTTCGTTCTAATGAGTCAAGTCAATCTTGCTAATTTGCAACAAAAGTTTGCGTGCAAAAAAATTGGCATCTATTTACGTGATTGAGTATACAAGTATGTAAATATGTAGCAAAAAATAATTCAAATTATACTTTATTCTTGTTCCAAAAAATTAATTTATCCAAAAAATCAAAATAGGATTTCATTTTGATTTTCCATTAAAAAAAAAACAAGAACAATACCATTATTAAATCAACGAATTCTTGAAGGCTACACGTGTATATAAAATATCTGTGTTATTTTTAATTTAGAATATATACATATAATATATGTATATGACTATATACATTTATACCAAATATGTATGTCAAAAGTATGTACATTAATAATAATTATATCCTGTAGTTTTTTTTGTTTTTCCTATTTTTCCTTATTCATACGTACGTACATACAATGTATATAATAGACTAGCAGTCAATGAACATCACAACGAAATTAGCACAAGTTCGTTGAACGTGATTACTTTTTACTTATATTTTTGTTTTCTTTCTCTCTACATACATAATATGTATGAAAATAAATTAAAAAAAATTTTTAAATTTTCATAAATTTTGAGTGAAATTTTTCTTTTCTTAAAATATTAAAAAAAAAATGTATAATGTATAAACGTATGCATATGTTTACGTGTAAACGAATGAATAAACAAAAAAAAATGTTAGGAAGATTTTAAATAAAGAGATTCTTCGAAATTAGAGAGATTGTTTTTGAATTTATATTTTTTGGAAGAGAAAATTTACTTCTCCAAATTAATAATTTTATAACAAAGAAATTTAATTTAATAATTTCTTAATTTAAATTTGAAATTTATTTTCTTATTACTTGATATTTTTATTAATATTTTAAATGAAGATTTAATTTTTTGTTTTTTTTTTTTATTTTTGATTATTTTAGTTAAACTAAAACCAGACTGAAAGAAAAACTATAAGAAATATCAAGGGTTTTTAAAAAACAAACAAAATGTAATATAAAATTTAAGGATGAAATCAATTCATTCATCGTTGGTTTGAACGAATCACGTCATATAATGCATAGAAAAGTAAAATGAATAAAACCGGAGAAACATACCGAGGAAGCAGATCGATCGTGCAAAATTCTCATCCTGAAGAAGACTATGCAAGAAAAAATCAATTAACTTCTGGAATAGAAGAAAAAAAAGAGATCTTATAAATTTATAAATATAAATAGCTTCACTATTGAATTTTTAAGATAATTTTGTTTTAAAAGAATTTGTAATTCAAATTATTAATTGCGCGAAATATTGTAAATTTCAAGATATTCAATACATACACATTAAGCACATTATGTATATAGAATATGTACATATGTACATTAAATGATTTATTTGTTGTTCCTTATTCTAAAATATAAAAATATTTTTTTTTTGAAAAAACGTAAAACGTAAAAAAAAAACAAATTATTATTTTGTTTCCGCATTTTTAAAATCATAATGTAAAAAAAAATTATCGTGTTCTCTTTATGTTAAAAATTGTTCTTAATTTAAATAATGTATGTATATATATAATTCTATATTTATTTTAAAATAGATATAAAAAAAAAAGAATAATAAGTAATTAAGCATAAATGAATGACGTTAAAATATTTATATTAATGGTATATTATACATGTATGTACATAATTTATATGTTCTAAAACTAAATAGAAAATATTAAATAAAAAAAATAGAAATTAATTATTTTATTTCATTTTCATATAATACATATATGTACATAAAAATAATTACAATTTAAAAAAAAAAACACCAAAAATTAAAAACAATATGACACTTTGCGGTCACAATTAATTTTTTCTTTTAAAATTAATTAAAAAATTTCTTATTGTTCTATTAAAATATTTTAATTATTTCTGATATACATACAATATTTATAATAATTAATGTACAAGTATAATAATAAAATAATATTAATTTAAAAAAATGTATAAATTAATCATAATATTTTTAACTTCAAATTTGATCTAAATTTGTTGATGATTTTTAATATTTTGTTTTTTTTTTGTGAAAAATTTTGTTTTCTAAAAATTTAAAATGCGCATAAAAATAATATTATTTTTTGTATAAGTACGCATTAAAAATTATATTTATATTACACCTTGTTCGAAAAATTATTTTCCAAATTATATTAGTATAACAATACTACAAAATTAAAAACCTACACTCTTTTTGTTTTCATTAAAAATCAAATCATCAAATTTGAAAAATAATATTTATTAAATATATTGAATAAACAAAGTAATTTTGTTATTTTAAAAAAAAATGATTTTATATTTAAATTAAATAAAATGAATACAAATTGGTTTTGCACGGTAATTATTTTTTAACATGTTAATTTAAAGTTTAGAAAAAAATATTTTTTATTTGCTTTGAACTAGATAAGTTGCAAATTCAATTTAACTTCTTTTGATAAAATTGTAAGATTCATTAAAAACTACGTCTATAAATTGCCATTATTAATTTCAATAATGCTATCCTAGTAATACTATAATTGCCTTAGATATAATGTTTTAAATCTTATTTTTAAAATTTTAAATTTTGATACTCGTATTATAATTGAAATATAGTAAATATTTTCTAGAAATATTAATTTTTGAATTATAATAGAAAAGGAAATACAATAATAAATGATTCTCTAAATAATTAATTATACTTAATACATTACTTAAATATATTTTGGAAGAAAATTCATGGAAATAATTTAATTGTATAAACAATATTTTTCAAGAATAACACCAGTGAATCATTTTCAATTTCAATTTGAAATCTAAAAAAAATAAAAAAGTAATTTTTTTTTTTTAATTAATCATTGTATATAAAATTTGAGTTGTAATTAATTATTAATTTTATTTCATACCTAATTACTCGTATAATAAATTGAGGCTAAAATAAGAATTAATTCTAGATAATTAATAATAATAAATCAAAATGAATAAAACTACTTAAATTTTCAAAATGAAATACGAATTTTTCAATTCGATTCAATTTTAATTTTCTAAATACAAATATTTTTATTCAATGATTGCCCTTATATTTAATTATATATAGTATATGTATTAATTAAATTAATGACTTAATTAATGACCAATAATAATATTATATACCAAAATCTAAATTGCATTTATGTACAATACATACATATGCATACATTAATACATAAATATATTTGAAAATAAAATTTAACAATAATTAGTCATTTTCAATATATTGTGCGCTAATTATCACAATAGTGCCATGAATTATTTAAGAGCCATGAGCCATCTAAATTGAAATATGTACTTTTAAGTGAATAAGAAATAAAAATAAATATACAAGTACTTTAATTGTATTAATTATGTACCTATGTAAATATAAAAAAAAATTTAATATAATCAAAAAAAAAAATTATTTTTAATTACGTTTAAACCTATACAAACATATCATTAACATATAACATATATATATGTACACTGCAATATTTTAAGTACATTAAAATTAGAAAAGAAAATAAATATTTTGAAGATATTTAACAAAAAAAAAAACTAATTAAACAATAACAACAACCAAAAAAGAATAAAAATTCAAATTAAATAAAATCACATCCGTCGTATTTGAAAAATTTTCACCACTGTGTGAACAAAAAACAAATATAAAAACGCGAAATATTTTTGAAAACAAAAACCACAATTGAAAGAAAAATAAAAAAAAACACCAAATTACGTTGGTCAAAAAGGTGAAACAACCTGCTACACCACTTAACCGTATTTATAAATCTATTATACATATGTACATATAAAAATTTTCTGAAAATATAAAGAAAAACAAAAAAAAAATTAGAAAAATACTCCTATATACAATAAAAAAAATTAAAAATAACAAAAAAAATGCGGACCAATATTCACTATATGGACGTACGGTACGTATACGAAAAGATAATTATAAAAGAAAACAAGAGAGAAAAAATTAAAATTTGCGTCATTATAAAACAGAATGTGAAAAATTAAAAATTTTGAAAATTATGTACAAAGATGAAAAAAAAAAGAATGCGATCCACCACTTTTTAAGTTGATAGCAGGCAGATGCAATGTGTTGCTATTAATTTTTCTCTGACATTTTGTAATTTTCTTTCACCATCTTTTTTCTGCCCCTCCCCCACCACTCCGCACATCCAGCTCTTTTTGCTTGCTTGATTAGCTCTTTACTTCCTTAATATTATATATATGTAATTTTCATTATAATTAATAATATATAAGTACTACTCAATTTTTCAGTATAAATTACTTAAATTGGTTTAATTTTTAAATTACAAATTTCAAAGATTATTATAGTAAAATAAAATTATACATTTTGTATACTAAATATAAAATTATACAAATAATTACCTAATATGGTTAGTATTTATAGCAAAGATGCAAAATGATTTAAATTCGATTCAATTCGAAGATAACTGGCTTCGAATAAATTAAGTTTAATTATTTTCGAAATTAACCTATACAATTTTCTCTATATTTTTCTATTTGGCAGCCAGAAAATTATTTTCCGGATGGAGTTGAAATTCAAGTTTATAGATTTGAATAAAGAAAAATCAAATAATGTTATTATACCTTATCTCAAATTTTAAGCTAGATTAACTTAACTAACTTTACCGAATTAATACATATATATGTATGTATAACCAAATATACAAAAATTATTGTACATATAAAATAAAATGTACGTTTTTGATTATTTAAAAACAGAATCAAAATTCCACATTATAATTTTTTAAAATTAGCCGAAAACAAATAAAAAAATTTAATTCAAGCATTAAAAATAAATTCGAAAAATGAAATTTTATTTATTTGAAAATATTTCACTACCACTTGCAACAACCACTGTGGTAACACTTTAATGTAAAATCAAAATAATTTTTTGTTTTTGGCTTACGATCTAAATTTTTTTTTTTTGTTTTTAATTTTTTCTTTTTTTAAATTTTCTATACAATAAATATTTTTTAAGAGATGATGATGGTAATTTGACAAAAATTAAAGGTAAATGCAAAATGTTAACAATTTCGTAATTAGGTAGAACAAATTTTGTTTTTTTTTTGTATTTTACGTAATTTAAAAATTTTATTTTTATTCTTGTTTTTCTATATTTAATGTAAAATGTTATATTATGAGAAATTGAAATCATTGGTGTATAATAGTAATATTAAATACTGTGAAGAAAAAATTTTTTTTAAAAATATTTTAAATGAACTTTTAATGGTTCTTTTGATCGGATTTTTATATAAAACAGAAATATCTTTTTGAAAGAAATTATGACAAATTCTTTTTTATTTTTTAATAATTTCATGAAATTTCCATTTTATTTTGTTTTTCGATTAAAATTCTATTTATATACTTAACAATTTCTAAAAATATTAAAAATAAAAAAAATCATAATTTAATAGGTCAAAGAACTATTCAAACAAGTTCATATAATTTTCTTTTTTAATATGATAAAATAAATAAAAAATTTTAATACTTAATATATACATATATACATATAAGTAAATAAGTTTAAGTTTAAGTTTAATGATATTATTTTCTGCCAATATTTTTAATTTTTTTTTTTTTGGCAAATTTCAATTTTTAACTGGTACCAAGAAAAAAAAAAAATTTAAAAATATACCAAAACAATTAAATACTAAGTGGTATATATATACATAATTAATTAAAATATAAAGAAAATATAATAAATTTAATTAAATTAAAACATAAATTTTAGTTCACTTTCTAAAACTTTGAACCATTCGGAAAAGTTCATATTATATGTACATGTATATTATAAATTAAAAATAGAACAAAATGAAATTAAAGTAAATAAAAATATTTTTATTTTTGTAATTGAATTAAAATAAAATTCTTTTACAACAAAATATTTAGATTGAATTAATGTAAAAGTTATTTTAATTTATTGTGTTTAAAAAGAAATTTACTCAATTTTATTTAAATATAAGTGTGCCAATATAAATATATTTTTAAATATATACTATAATTAATATATTAAATGATCTATTAGTGATTGATCATGCTTGTAAAACAATTTTAGTAATTAATGTTATAATTGAAGTCAAAAACCCTGTTTTGCAAATCAAACAACTATTCTATTACTAGATTAAGAATTTAAAATAATTTAGCCTTGAAAGCGCTAAAAAAATATTGTCTAAAAAAACATTCCAAATTCTAAAATTGAAAATGTGAAATTAATTGCCCACCAAATTTACTCTACAATTAATTTACTTATTATATTAATAATAAACGTTCAGTTTTAAGTATATAAAACAGAAACCAACACAATGGCCCATGTTCGGACATTACGACGAAATTTCAAATCAGTCATAATTGATTTCGATTCAATAACACCAGCAAACAAATCCTGTATAATTTGTCTAAAAATTAAAATTACAAAAATTAAACAGCAAATTAAAGAAATATTTCATTATTTACCGTTATTTATAAAATTTGAAGCATTGAAAACTACTTTTATAAGAAAATTTTAATTAAACAAATCAAAAAATATGAATAAATTAAGGAGTAAAAATTAATCACTTTATTTTTTAATTAAAATTCATAAAATATAAATAAATATTTTTAAACATTTTATCAAATATTCTTAAATAATTGTAACAGTAAACAATAATTTATTAAAAGAAAAATTAAAAAGAAAAATTATTCTTTACATACTTCAACACATTTTAATATTAAAAATAAAATGCTAACGCTTACACTAAAAATGTCGTCATTTTAATATTTTCTTTTTAAAACATTAATATTTTCTTACATCAAATCCAAGTAATTTGAAAAAATTCAAAAATTTAAATTATGCAATTATTATTTATTCATATACAATAATATATATTCATAGTGTAATTAAATAAAATTGTAATTATGCAGTAAAAGTTAACAGGTACTCTTTTAATTTTAAATAAAATACAACAAAATAAAAAAAAAGACAGAAATTTTTAAATTTAATTTTAACAAATTTCTTTATGGTACTAGTAGAATTTAAAAATTATTTTAAGAAAATTTAAAAATTTAATTTAAAATTTAAATGACCTTTTAAACAAAAATTTTATTGAGTATATAAGTGTAAAGAAACACGTAAAACGATAATATTATAAATATTACATTTACATATATATGTATATATATATTTATATATATTATATAAATATGTAAATAAGAATAACGTAGCCAATCAATTAATTATGCATGAAATTAATTACAATCAAATTAAAAACATTAGAAAATATTTTATTTCTATAGTAGTGTTAAAGGAAAACTAAAAAAATTCTTACATAAAAAATATCAAATAAATTAATTTGACGATCTAATTTGAATTCAACTCATTCATATATATTACCTATGGTTACCTATGTAGCTATGAATTTGTAAATGTAGATATTTATATACATCTAATATATTTTAATGAAATATTAAAGGACAATCCTAATTATCATTAATTAAAGTTGAAATCATTACAAAATAATTTTTGATTTTTTTTTTTTCTTATTTTTTCTATCTATTTCAATAATATTATTATTTAATTTTGCCATTTGTTTTTGAAAAATGTCATAAATTGATATAAAAATTTAATTATTTTACATTAAATTACCTTCATTCAAATTTTATTTGGTTCATAGAACTATGTACTACCACCGTGTATATAGTTTATAGTGCAGAAGACAATTTTTGTAATTACACAAAAAGCTGGTTTTTT